TTATAAATTATAAAATANATTTTTATTTAAATTATTCAATTCTTAAAAGATATAATAAATTTATATATAATATTTATTATATTAATAAATAATACACGTATTTTATATTTATATATAATAAAAATATCACAAAAAAAAATTCTTTTTTTCAACTAATTATATTATACTATATTTTCACCATAATTTATTATATTATAATTATTTCTTGTTTAATTTTAGTTGACTATTTACAATATATTACTATAATTATTATTTTCTTATTAATTATATTATATGTTTTATGAATTTCGTAAGCTTTAATTGTATTAAAATGCATTTAATTTATTTCTATGATGCTACTTAAGCATGTTTTCCATATTCTATTATATATTTGCATTTTATTATATGTTCTATTTTTAATTTGATATATTTTCTACTTATTAAGATGATGATATAATCTAATCAATAGCTAAAAAATATAATTTATTTAAAAAAGTTAAAAATATATTATTTTTTATTTTTTTGAATTATTTTCTTATTTATAATAAAAATATTTTATCAGTTTCTTTTTATTATGTAATTGTGTTTAAAGTTCTTTTTAGATAAACATTAAAGTTCTATTTTATATTTAATTTATTTATTTCATATTAATATTATTAAAATACTTTAAATTTAAAATTAAAATCCTATAATATTGGTTTTTATTATTTTTTATTATCTTCTATAATTTATTAGTTATTTTTTTTTATAAAATATATTATTTAAATCCCATTTTTTTTTAATTTTATTTATATTTTTTTTTATAAACAAAATTAATATTTTATGATTGTATTTTTTAATTAAAACAAAGGCAAAAATTAATTAAAATTGTTTATACAAATTGAAAAACTTGAAAATAATATAAAGTTTATTCTTTAAATTAGGAAATATGGTAGAATTTTAATTAACTTGGGGGTATTAAATAAATTGTAATTAGTTAATTGCTAATAAAAAATAACATTTTTACTTTTTAAAATACTGAAAAATATATATTTTTATGTAAAAAAAAAGATAAAAAGAAAAAAATAATTAAATATGAAATATTTTAAAATTTAGAAGAACATATAAAAAATATAAATTAATTATAAATAAAAATTTTATAAAATACTAATTATATAAAATATTTAAATAATAATTTTATAATTATTAATATATATATGTAAAAAAATCATATTTTAATATATAAGAAAATAAACCATTACATATAAAAATATAATCGAATATTTATTTAATAAATATAAATAAATTTCATATAAAAATGTAATATTATATATATTAAAATAATAAAAAAAATTAGTAAATAAATTTAATATTTTATTTGTATAAAATAAATAACATTATATATATATGTAATATAATAAATTATATGAATTTTTAATATATATATTATAAATATTTATATATATATAATTTTATATATACATCTATATATATTTACAATTATATTTTTATTTCATATCAAATGGATTCAAAATCCCTTAATGAAAATAAAAATATTAATTAAAGCTATTCTTAATTAATAAAAATTTTCTAAAAATATATATCTTACTTTGAAACTTCTCAAGCTTTACAGAAAATAATAGAAAATTAAATAAACGAAAATTCAAAAATAGCTTAGTATTCTCAATGTTTTAAATATTGCGGACAAAATTATAATAAAGATGACTTATAAAAAGTAAAATAAACTAAAAAAAATATAATTCATAAAATAATAAAAAGTCTATTTGTGACCCTATATGGGAAATATTATAAAGAGGGGGAAAAAGAATTCGTGTAATAATATGCGCTTTAATTTCTGAAGCATTAGGAAAATCATTTGTAAATTATAAAAAATTAACATAAATAAATAAAAAAGGATGATGTAATAGAAATCGCAGCTTTTATTGAAATTTTACACAATTGTTCATTAATAATTGATGATATAGAAGATAATAGGTACATATTTAAATCAAAAAATATATATATATATATACATTAAAAGTTAAATGAGAAGATAAAAGCCTACAATTCATTTAATTTATGGCACTGATATAAGTATTAATGCAGGAAATTATGGATATTTTGCCAGTTTTAATTATTTTTTATAATCAACTAATTATCCAGATGATAAATTAATATAATTGACTAAAATATATTTTTAAGAAATGACTTAATTACATTTGGGTTAGGCTTTTGATATTTAATGGCACAAAAATGCATATTAAAATATATTTCCTTCCGAAGAATAATATATATAAATGATAATAAATAAAACAGGAGCCTTACTTAGAATGATGGTAAGGTTTATTTGCGTTGTATTTGAAATAAAAGACCTAGTATTAGTTGAAAATCTATCTATTTTTGCGGAAAATATAGGAACAGCATTTTAAATATAGGATGATATAATAAATATATAATCTGAAACATACCAAGAACTAAAAGGGATGTTAGGAGAAGATATATACGAGGTATTTTTTTAATAAATTTTTATTTAAAAACTAAAGAAAAAATAAAAAAATAAGGGAAAAATTACATTAATGGTTATATATTGTATATAAAAGCTTAATGAATTATAAAAAAAAGAGTTTTTAGACATCCTATTGGGAAAAACTTTAGATTAAGAAAAAATCAGAAAAGCTATTTGTTATTTAGTTGATTCGGGAAGTATTGAATATGCGAAAAAAATGGCTTGTAAATTTAAAGATTAAGCTTTTTAAAATATTCAATAATGCTTTTTAAAAGAGACTGAAGCTAAAAATAGTCTTATTTAATTAATAGAATATATCATTAAAAGATAATTTTGATTAAAAAAAAAAAAAAAAGTTTTTTTTTTTTTTTTTTTTTTTTTTATAATAAATATTATTATATATATATATATATATATATTTTTTTTTTTTTTTCCTTTTTTTTTTTTTTTTTTTCCCTTTTTTTTATTCTTAAAATTTTATTTAATATATATATTTTATTTTTTTTCAGTATTATTATACATTATTTATATTTTTTGAAATCTTTATCTGATTTTTTAAATAATATAAACAAATATATATTAAAATTAGAAATTATATACTTTTATTTATTTATGGGTTATATTTTTTTTTCTTTTATTTTTATTTAAATTAATATAATAATTATTATTTTAAATAGACTTTTTATGTATTCTCTGTAATTTATTTATAATATATATAATATCTAAACTATACTAACTTTATTTTCTTCTCTCATAATCAAACAATAATGCATCTTTTATTGTATTAATTAAAAAATAATACCTTTTTTATTTATATAGTTTTTTTTTATATAAATTGAATGTTATTATTAATATAAGAAAACAAATAAATTATTTAATGGATATTAATTTATTAAATTTAAAAAAAAAATATTTTTAAAACTCACAGAGAATTTTTATGATTTTTTGTTTGGTTAAATCAAAGAATTTCATTATATTTATTATTCTATTAAATCCTTATATAAAATATAATTTGATTTCTGTGTTTAAATATTAATTATATTATTTATCTATTTATATTCCTTTAATTTTATTTAATGAATTTTATATTGTTTTAATTAATAATTTTAAGTATATTATTAGAAATAGGATATTCTTTAATTTTTAAATCAATTATTTTATCTTTATTATAAATTTTAATAATAAAATTAAATTAATTATATATTACTTTTTTTTTTTTTAGATATAATCATATTTTTTATAATAATATATAATATTTTTATTAATATATAATTATATTAAATACACAATTTTAAAAAATGATTATTTTTTTCAATTATATAAAAAGTAAAGTTAAAAGATATATATATATATATATATATAGTAAACAAAACCTAACATTACTTAATATAATTTAATTTAATAATAATAATTTTTATATATAATAATGGGAAAAATCATAAGATTACTCTTTTCGTTTATTCTACAATATTATTATCCCATTATTCTTTTGAATATCTGCTAATGTTTTTATTTAACCATTCATTATTATTTATATCTACTAAATTAATTCTTTCATTAGGATCTCTTTATAATAATTTATTAATGAAATCTTAAGCTTCTAAAGACACATAACCCGGAAAAAACAGATCATTCTGATAAAAATTAATAATAAAAAAAAAAAAAAAAACATAAAAAATAATAATATTAACCTTCATTATTTTTTATAATTATTCATTATTTTTTTCACATAAAAAAGGTGCTTTTCCAGTCAATAATTCATAAGCTAAAATACCCAAACTCCAAATATCCACACTTCTACCATAATCTTCACCATTTAACATTTCAGGACTTATATAATCTAAAGTTCCACAAAAAGTTTATCTTTTAAGTTCTGGGCAATATACACTACAACCAAAATCTGTTATTTTAATAGCTCCCTATATATATTATTTGAAAATAAATAACTATTTATATAAAGATTTATACATAAGATAATAATATATTTTAAGGTTTTAAATCTCTATGAATTATATTATTCTAATGTAAAAATATACAAGCACTTATTATTTATTTAATATACAAAGCGGCTTATGTTTCATCATATTTCTAACCTTTTTAGAGTTATAAATCTTTATATAATTAGCCATGGGAAGCATATTCTTATACTAAATAAATAAACTTTTCATCATAATAAAATCCGTATAATTTGATAATATTAGCATGGTTTAAAAAAGATTAAATTATTATTTCATTTTATAAATAATCTTGTATTTTAAGATTAATTAAAGTTTATTTTCTTATTTTTTTTATAGCGAAAATAAATCCTGATTAAATATCTCTTTAAAAAAAAAAATATATATTATAATTTATTAATAAATATTTTGTTTACTTAGCCATAAAAACGTCAGAAAATTTACCTTAACCTAATAATTTACCAATTTAAAAATTTTCCTTTGTGAAAGCATTTTTAAATAAATTTGTATCAACATAAATATTACTTTAAATATTAGTATTTTATTATTAATGTTTAATTAATTATGTAAATTATTATTATTATTAAAATTATAATTATTAATGTTTTTACTAATTTTAATTTTACTAAATTAAAAAATATTATTATTATTATTATTATTATTATTATTATTATTATTATTATTATTATTATTATTATTATTTTTATAATTATTATGTTTTTTTTAATTTTTATTCTATTTAATTTTGTATTTCTGTATATTAATCTTCAAATTATTCAAATTTATTGCTTTTTTATTATTTATTATTATTTATTTATTATTAATTTTATTATTTTTATATTTAATTATTCGTTAGTTATTATTCATTTATGCTTTAGTTTTTTTTTCCTTTGTTTAAAATTCTTTCAATCTACAATATATTTTCTAATTATTCCTACTATTTATCTTTATAAGTTTAAGCATTTCCTTTTCCAAAAACTGAAACAGATTTTATTTATCTTGATTATTACTTACATTTAGTCTCATCGATTATTTTTTAAACATTTGGATTTAAAATATTATTTTAATTATTTAAAATAATATTGTTTATTTATTTATTTTATATATTAAAATCATTTTTGTTAATATTATGAATATTATTATAATTATTATTATTACTATTATTATTATTATTATTATTATTATTATTATTATTATTATTATTAATAATTTTATTATTATTATTTTATTATTAATAATTACTTATATCATTAATATTTGTATTTAAATTATAATTTTTTATTATTTCATATTAATACTTTTTTTTATTATCATTATTGTTGTAAATAATATTTTATTTCTATTTTTATGCTTAAACTTTCGTACTTTTTTATTTTAATTTAACTTTTAATTAATTTTAAGATTTGTTTCTATTCTCATCTAAATTATTTTATTAATTAATATAATTTAAGTTTAATTACTCTAAAACATTTAATTCTTATTAAAACATAGTTGTTAAATTATTTTCTTAGTTTAAATTTTCTTTTTATTCAGTATATGTATTATTAATTCTATCTCTATAATTAGGGCTTGTTCTATTTATTTTATAGATATCATTATATGCAATTTTTATAAGAGTTTAATTTTTTTCAAATTCACTATTTATTTTTTATTGTTAAATTTATTAGTATTTGTTTAAATATTTTTATTGAATTTATGATATTTAGTTTTTTACGAAATCTTTTTGTTAAGGCAATATATTTTGGTAATGTTAAAAATATACATTATTTTATTTCGTTTCATTTATTAAATCATCTATTAGTTTTTATGGTTATACTTCGTATATTTATTATAGACTCATTAGTTTGTTTTTTTTTTTTTTTTATATATATTAATTCAAATTACTTATTTTTTATAATCAAAATTAACTTTTTGCTTCTTTTTTTATATATAATAATTTATTTTTTAAATTTATATTAAAAAAAAAACATTATTAAAAAATTCAAATGAATATTTTTAAATATATAAATAAAATTATAATTATATATTTTTTTTTTTTTTCGAATATAATATATATTTTCTTTTATTTTTTTTTTTATTTTTTTTTTTCTAATTAATGGTTTATTATTATATAATTTGATTTTAAAGATGAAATTATTAATTTATAAAATGCTTATTTTATTTATTATAAAAAATTAAACATAACAAAAAAAAAAAAAGCGAAATTTAATATATAATAAAATATTAAACATGAATAATTAAAAAAAAAAAAAAAAGAAAAAAAAAAAAGATAAATATCATTTTTCTGTTAATTCCCTATATCCTTCCCAATTATCCGGTGCTTAAAACCCATTTTACTTCATAACTTGAATTAAAGTTTATATCGGTCCATCATCTTAGACTAATTCTTTTGCTTTTTCCATTTTTTATTTACATATCATCCACTACCCATCTAAATAATAAAAAAATGCATCATTAAATAATTCTATAAATTGTTCATTTCTTCCCTCAAATGCCATTCTGAGATCTTTATTTTCTTAAATATACATATTAACATCCCATTCACATTACCTATTTATTACTTCTGACACAAGGTCAATGATTTCATTTTTTTTATATAGGCAATCATAATATTTATCCTATTTACTCAAAGTAGGATCCCCATTCTTCGAAGCAGGCAAATTATTTACATTAATATCCACTGTATAAAGCCCTATTGGTCTTTATGATCCTTTTACATTCACTCTATCAATCTATCTTGCAATATTCTACATTTTCGGTGAGAAAAGTTCATATAAATCCGATGAAATAAGCAATGGGACTCCATATTATTTAGTTGCAGCCTCTAACCTTGACGCCATATTAACATTAGGACTTAAATAAGACGCATCTATTTTAAATTAAGAGCCTATAGCCCCTTCTATACCCCATCCAATATGCAATCCGAATCCCATTTTGACTTTATAATTCTCCAGTCTACTCTAAAGTCTCTTATCATTCCTATACTCGAGAATTTGCTATTCTCTATTCAACTTAACGTTAATTTTAAGAAATGAAATAACTGCCAAATCACATAAAATCTAGATATAAACCTCGTCATTAAATACAAGTGAATTATCCTCCTCTTTAATCATATATTTATCCTCTCTAAGCTTCCAAACTAGCAAAAAAGCGTCACCTATATTCTTATTAGCTGCCCCCAAATACCTATCTACCACCATATGGACAATTTCTCCTATATTATTCACAAAAATCATTACATCTTCCTATAAAACTTCTGTTGCGTCTGTAAAATTTCGGATATCGCAAAATCCATATATTGCGCTTTTCTTTTTTCCAGGAATCATAGGGTTTACATCTCCTGTATTAGTCATATTACTGGCTATAATTTCACTCCCGGCATCCCCGAATCCCAACGCAAGTAAAGTTCCGATTTTTATAATCGCGTTTTCTATTATTATAGTCTCATATTATTAGTCTTAAATAATCAGCTCTTGGTCTTTAGAAGATAAAGGGTTATTTGCAATTTAAATTACTTTATCTCGCATTCTTTCTATAGGGATCAAGACTAAATCATTTGCATCTTTTGCGAATAATAAGGCCCCTACCGTCAATAATATACATACGAAAATAATTCTTCCTAAAGAAAGGCATGCACTTAATACTGCTAAAGGCGCTATATTTAAAAATCCCTGTATTAGTTTCTAATCAGAAGTCATACCTTTTAAAACATTGTCATATTCCATTTAATCTTCTTTATTGGGGTGGTTTTACAAATATAAGTCTATGTTTAATTCATATCCGATCCCTTCTTTTTCCTCATCTCGGATATAATCGAATATTGTCAAGTTAAAATTATTTATATAAGACAAAGGAATCCTCAAAAATACAATAGGAGTAATTAAATTCATATGTTATTTAACTATAGTATCGAATTATAATTGAATTTCATATCTAGTAGATTTCATTTCGGTTATTAATTTTAATTATTAACAAGCTAAATCCATTGTAATAGGTTCTTCAAAATAATAAGCAGCTGAAAAAAGAGGCATAATAAATAAAAGTAATAATACAATAATTATTACTCTTTAAGTTGTTAAGTCAGCTAATTTTTTTGAAACTACTGATTGTTTTACTTTATATTTATTTTTATTTTACTATTTTTTATTTTTAATAAAAAAAAAATTATTTTTTTATACATTTGTGTTTGATGTATTATCTTAATTTTTAAAATATTCATCCATTTTAATACTTAATTTTTTAGTACTAGACACATTATTAGTATTTTCTTGAATTATTTTATTCATAATAATCTATGGAGAATCATTATTATTATTGCTATTGATATAATTACTGTTTATATTATTAGTGTAATTATTATTATTATTATTATTATTATTATTATTATTATTATTATTATTATTATTTTTATTATATTTATAATTATTATTATCATTATTTTTATTATCTTCATTATTTTTTTTTTTATTATTTTTATTTTTACTTATTTTGTCTTTTTTAATATTCTCTTCACATTTATTGTTATTTTATTAAGGAAAAATTTTCTTCTTTTTCTTTCTTCTTTCTTCTAAATTTTTTTAAGTTTTATTCGAAGTTTATTAATTCTATTATTAAAGAAGAGCTGCCTTATATAATTTAACAATTCTTACAAGTCTAACTAATCTTATAAATCTTCTTCCTGATCTAAATAAAATATATATATATATATATATATATATATATATATATGTATATATCTATATATATATATATATCTATATAAGTATATATTTTATTTATAATTAATAACCTTCTAGTTATTTTAGAAGCACTTCCTTCTTTAGATAAATCAACAGTACTGTTATCATATTATCCAAAAAATATTATTGATTATAACACATGAATATCCATAATCAAAGATATAGTAGAAATAGTATCTAGAAAGAAAAAGAATGACAGAAAATATTTTGGCCTTATTATCATCGCAGTTATTACTTCACATGTAAAAATCAAGAAAGCTATAACTGTGAAAAAATCAAAAACTATATCTGCCCTATTATCAAAGGCTATAATTCTTATATCATCTCCAAAAAGTGCATAAGCAGTAGTTAAATTTATTACTACTGAGGTAAAATTGCTATTTAAAAATTAATATAACGTAGGATGTTTTTCCATTATTTTTTTTTCCTCACTTTCTTCTTCATCTTTAAAAATTTAATTTTGACTTTAAATTTATTTATCCCCAAATTTACTTTCTATTTATGCAAAGGAACTAATTTCTCCTTCATTTTTTTAACTTTCTATTTAGGATTCTTATCTTTAAATTTTCTAATCTTAAATTAATTAAGAAAGTTGAGGGTTTATTTTTTTTCGAATTTCAAGATAAGGGACATTTTAATCTACTTTTTTTTTTTTTTTTACTTTTTTTTTTTTTTTTTTACTTTTTTTAATTTCTTTAACTTTCTTCTTATTATTATTTATTTTCTTCATTTTTATTTTATAATCTATCTTAATTTTCTAATTTTTACCCTTCATTTTTAATTTCTATAAATTAATTTTTAGAATTATCTATTATATTTATTTTTATATTACTTTCAACTAATTCCTATTGGTTATTTTATAAAAGAATATCTTATTATTTACAATTTATACTATATTATTTGACTAAATTATTATTATTATCTATTGAAAAAAATTAAAAAAAAAATTATATATAAATAATTTATTTATTTTTAAAAAAAGGACCTTTATTTGATTATTCAGAAAAATTTTCTTATTTTTTTAAATTATAAAACATATTTATATTTTAATTTTCTAAATTTTTTATGTTATCACTTTATTATTTAAATTAATTAAGTTCTATTTTCATAAAATCTTATTCTATTTTTTAATTAGCCATACTTTAATCTGATAAAAAAGTAAACTTTATATTTAATTTTTAATTTTTTTTTATAAAGAAAATATGTGGTATTAATTACATTAACTAATTAAATTTATTAGCTTAAACATTCACTATCTTAAATATTATTTTACATTTAAATTTATTTTTCTTGTTATAAATATTAATCATTTTTTTAAGACTACAATAATAAATTACTTTCAGGATTTACTTTTAATGTACTATTTTTCTATAAAGATTCCTTTTATTGGTTACTTTTTTAACTTTTATTTTCATTATTATTTATTGCAAAAAATTTATCAGGGGTAGTGATTAAATTATTCATAGCAAATAAATAATCTTAAATTTCATCTTCTTTACAAAAATTACCTTCCTCAGTATTTATTTGCATATTTTTTTATTTTATTATATAAGTTATATATATAATTATAAGTATATATGTTATTTTTTTTTATTAATAATCATCAAAAAAAAATAAAAAAAATAAAAAATATATAAAAATTATTTTATTTTTATTTTTCACGATTATAATTAAATAATAATAAAATTAATAAAATTACTTAAAATTACTTAATTATATAAAGATAAAAATAAATATATATATAAAAAATTATATATATAAATAAATAAATATATATATATTTATATATATTTCTATATATATATATATATAAAAATTTAAATATATAAATACATATATATTAATAAAAATTTAAATAATATTATCAAAATTTAAATCTTAATTTATTAATATTTTAAATTATATTATTTATAATTAAAAAGATATATTTTAATAAAAAGTAAAAAAATATTATAAATGATTATATATATCTTAATTATATATTTAATATCATTATCTAACTAATAAAATTTATGTTAAAACTGTTAAATATGTGATTAGGTCACTACATAATGTTAAAAATGTAATTAAGGTTTTTTTTTATAAAATAATCAATGTATATAAATACTTCCTTAACATGACAATTGTTTAATAGTCTAAAATAATATGTAAATATAATAAAAAATAAAATAATAATAAAAAAAAAAAGATGTCAGTATTGCAAAATCGGTTATTATAAAAATAGACAAAACAATTGTGTATTATTTACAAGATCTACTTCTTCTTGTTCTTTGATAAAGTTTTTTTTTTTAATTAAAACAAAAAATACTTAATAATTTTTTTAAAAAAATAGTCATATAGGACCTACTGGTGATTGCTTAACTACTCAAGAAATAGCCATATAAACTTAAATTAACAATTAATAATTTTTATATTGTGAAAACCTAACATTATATAAATAATAATTATAATAAATATGCATGTTATGCTAAAATTATTCCCCAAATCCCCTTTATAATTGCGATTTATGCATTTTTGATTAAGTTTAATAGTAATTAAAATGCTTAAGGTGCGTATATCCTTATATATTGAATTAATATACTCTAAAATGTGAACTACCTATGAAAAATTGTTTAAGAATGTAACCTTTTTCTCTACAAACTAATACTTTTTCATGTGAAAAATGCCAAAGAGGTTACTATTTTGACCAAATACAATGTTCTAAATGCATATAAAACTGTATTGAATGCGAAAACAATTTTTCCTGTATAACATGTGAGCCATATTTAGTTTATTAAAACGAATATTGCCAAAAAGACATTAATTTATAATTTTTATTAAATATATAAACTTTAAAATAACTCTATTAGTCTATTTAAGTTCAATATAGTGAATTTACAGGAATAGAAAACTCGTTTCCTATATATGAATTGCGAAATATATAAAATTTTGCAAATAATTTTAAAGAATGTTTCAGTTCTTAACGATCTAATTCTTTTTATTAAACTTGTAATTGTTTTTAAGATTTCAAAGGAGCAAGATGTTAATTCGATATTACTAAAAAAAACTTTATAAATGAAAGATTAGATAATTTATGGAAAAGATTTATAAGATTATTTGATTAAAATTGGTTTAATAATAATGAAAATAGGGAATTTTTTTTAAAAATATTAGCTTTTTATGGAGAAAATGGAGATATTATGCAGGATATTATGCTTTAATAAATTAATAATTTTTTAGAAAATTCAAACTTTATTTAACTCTATTAAAACTTTTAGTAATTCGGATTAATAAGTAAAATATATTATATATTATATGTTATTTATTATATTATATATATATATATATTATTTTATATATATACATATATATATATTTACATATATATTTATTTTTTATTTAAAATAAAAGATTGGTTTACTCTCGAAAATATTGAATAAAAAATAAATTATGAATTTTTTATATATTTCTTAAATTAATATCTAGATTTTTTAAACAAATCATAATCTCAATTTTCCAATTTAAATTTTATTTTAAGATTAAATGACTTAATAAATAATCAATTATAACTTATAATTAATAATATTTAATAAAATAATCTCTAATCATATATTACATTCATAAAAACAATTAAAATAGAAATATATGCTAGAAAATATACAATAAATGCCTAATAAACGCCTTCGTTTTTTTCGTTAAATTCTCCTCTATCAACCATATTGCAAAACGACGCTAAAAACATCCTCTAATTTTATAATTTTGAAGAATTGTAAACCTAATGTTTATATACTTCATATGTAGATTACCCTTATATTTTTATTTCAAAACCTACCTAATAATACCTATCTTAAAAAAATCAATAACATAACAGTTTAAATTCAATTTTTTATTTATAAATAATCTAAACATCATACAACAGGTATAATAAAAATATATAATTTAATTTATATGTTTAAAAAATTATAAAGAAAAAAATATAAATATGAATATATATTAAAAAAATTAAAAAAAATAATATATAAATAATTATATAAATATATATATATATATATATATATATATTATTATTATTATATTTTTTAGATATTATAAATTGGATAATAATGTCAATTCTCCTATAATCACAGTTTAACTATAGTTCTAATAAAATTAATAAAATGATAAGATAAATTTCTCATTTAATACTTAATATGGTGGTTAATTTGCTATTCTTATTCCTTTATTCAGATATCATATATATTCTAAAAACGAGAATTAGATAACAAAAATTACTTGTAAAATTAAAGAAGGAAATTTATGGTCAGATTCTGAAATTCACGGTGTCCTCTAACATTTAACTTAGGTATGTGAATAGTATGTTATTTGTTTTTACGATTTTAATTTTGATTTTGTTAACGAAAAATAATTTGCTTATTTTTTGGAATTAATAGACCCTCCTTAAAAAACAAAGCCAAGTTTTTTTTTTGTTTTAATATAATTAAATATATATTATATATATAGATTTATTATAAAAATATGACTCTTCTTATTTTATTTCATCCGGATTTTTTATACCTTTATCAATCTTAATCATTTTTACTATAAGTATAATAGTATTTACATAGATTCCTGTTTTAAACTAAGGAAAAATACTCCGAAAAAAAATAAAAATGCAAGAAGAAAACATAAACTAATTCTAAACGGACTCAGAAAAGACTGAAAGAGAAAAAAATATAAAATAAATTTACAATATAAATTATTAAGAAGAAATTTAAATGGATCCTTTAATGTCTTTACATTTTTACAGTGTAATGCACACATAAAATATGTAGTATAAAATTCAAAAATTATCAATAATATCAATGTAATGGCTTTTTATGTCTACTATAATTTCAATATTTATATATTATTTAGAATGGGTAATTTATTAAAAAATATTAACTTTTTTATATTCTTTAATTATTTCACTGATTATAAATTATGTATATGGAGCATTATCTATTCTTTTTAGAATGGATAGAGATGGAACATAAAAGTATATATAATATATATAAATATATTATATTTTTTTTAATAAAAACAAGAATACATTATTCGTATATAATATTTTATATATTAACATTCATTTTTCTAATTGCAATTTAAATAAGTGCAATGGGCTTTTATGTAGGAGAAATATAATAAAATTGGCATGTAATAGGATTTATTATATTATTAATAATTGATAATGTAATATTTGATATAATTTTTTCAATAATTTTATTAGATATATGTAATAAAAATAAATAATAATTTTACTTAATTTCTAAAATAATAAGATTTAAAGGATTTTATGAAATATGAATAAAATGTTAAAATTATATAAATATATATAAATATATATATATATATATATATTTATATATTATTTATTATATAATATTTATATTTAATATTAGGTAATAATATTTATATATTTATATATTGATTTTTATATATTATTATATATATTATTTTGTAATCAATAATAATTATTTCAATTTATTTTATTATTTTACATAAATTTATCTAAGAGACTATCTAATTTATCTAAATCTTAACTTTTTTTAAAATCATACGTATTTAAAGATGTTTATTAATATTTTCC